TGGAGTGTTACAAGCTGTTTGTGAATAGATAAGATCCCTAAAGTTGCAAAGACTAAAGTCTCAAACCCAAAGAGATATTCATTATAAATGTTTAGACTGGTCCACGCCCTCCTAAAACGCCTCGTTTAAACACGCCCCCACATGTCTACGTCACTGTGTGGGAAGATAGTATAAGACAGTATAAGTCATTATAATCAGTAATTATGTCCCTACTGGATGCAACGAATGCCTCGTTTATAATAGGTTTTCATTTTTTTGTCTCGTCGCTCCGGCCGGACACGGCATCACCGTATAGTAGGTGGCGTACCAATCATAACGCACTGGATAGCCGGCCAATCAGAGCACACCTCGCTTTTCAGACCGATGAGTTTTGTAAAAATCGACGCGTTTCAGAAAGGCGGGGCATAGAGGAGAAACAATCATGTAAAATATGTGGAAAATAATGTGTTTTTTGAACCTTAAACCACATAAACACATTTCATTACACCAAATACACAAAATAATGTTCTTTTTAGCAACATCATATGACCCCTTTAACTTAATATACTATAATAACTAAAACTAAAACTGAATTAAAGGTAAATAAAAACTTTTTGTTAAACTTAAAAAAAAAAAATTTTAAATGACAAAAACACAATAAAATGATCAAAACTTTAATGAAAATAAAAATGAAAACAGAAAATATAAAAATGTATTCAAATATTAAAATAATATAATAATATCCCAATGATACTAAAACAACACTGATGTATATATACAAACTTTCCCCAATTTTTTTGACAGAAAGTATTTTCTTTTAAAGCCACACATAACCAGTGAAGTATAAAACCCTTGTTTTAGTACAGTACATGGTTGAGAGGAGTATGGATATCAGAACAGATCAGCGATTATACTACACATGTGATGTAGCCACATGTGTCTGTCCTTTAATGGGGTTTAAATGATTGCTACACAAAATGTTTAGTACCCCGTCTACACCAGCATGTAGCGCTGACCACTTGTGATCACCCACTTGACATTATTATTCAAAAGGGCTTTTTGTTGGACAGAACTTTGTATTATGTCCCTGAGCACAAGATGGGTCATCAATATGTTTGGCCCAATTTTTTTGGTCCATTTTTATTAAAATTTTTTCTGCTTTTAGCGGTGAACTACTAGCAGTTTACTTCTTAAAGTGAAAACTGTAAGATTATAATTAAAAGAAGAAATCATTCTAATATGCTGAAAACATTTCTTATTATATTATTGTATTATATATCTTATTATATTATATTATTATTTTTGTGTAAGCTGTAATATTTTTTCCCAGGATTCTTTGATGAATAAAAGAATAGCATTTATTTGAAATATAATTTTTTTGCAGCTTTTTTTTTTTTTTGCTATCACTTTTGATCAATTTAATGTCCTTTAATTCATCCTGTATGATATTCTGTATCTATAAAACAAAAATTGCAATAAACTGTTCTAGATTATTCATAATCTGTTTATTTATATCACAAGAGTGTTGCACTTGTGAATATATTTGAACAAAATTTCTGCCCATTTCACCTCGTTTCAGGGTGTTCGGCTTCCCTGTCCATTACACAGACGTGTCAAACATGAGTCGTCTGGCCAGGCAGAGGCTGCTGGGAAGGTCGTGGAGCATCCCGGTCATCCGTCACTTGTTTGCACCACTCAAAGAGTATTTCGCCTGCGTCTGAACTCAAATCCAGTACAGATGAGAAAAATCTAAACCGAAGTTATACCAAGAGCTTTGAAACCAAGCTCTCGTATGTTATTTGCAAGTTCGAAATCAGAAAAATAGGTATTTCATGTTTTGTTTTGATTTTTTTCTTCTGGTTTGGAATAATTGACTCTTTGTTTAATTCTATTTAATTTTTTTTATTATTATTAGTTTTACAGTTTAGCAGTGTTATCCAGTATTTTAATTGATTTATGTGTGCAAGCTATACTTGAGACAAGGCCTCCTTTTAAGGCACTGAGAGACGATGTTACAATTCAAGGCAGAAACGAGAAATTCGATGAGATGGAAATCGCATTTAGTTCGCCCAAGCATTTCGACTCCTGAGTTTTTCGACTATCGGGTCGCGGATCGATCTAATTCTCATGGTGCTCGCCTTTCCTCTCCTCCAGCGTCTGAGCCTTGGTTAAAGCGGGGAAAAAAGTCTTTCTCTTAGGATCAGGGGAGCTCTGTCTTAACCAATCCAAAACACCAGATCACAAATACCTCTTTGTTTACAGTTTCTATACATAACTGAAGGTAATAAAGGTACTACTGTAATAGGTGACAATATGGTGCTTCAAGGTGGTGAAAAACATTGCAACTCATGTGGTGCTACTACTCGAAACAAGATCATGGGGTCACGTTTTGTACCGTCGCCAGGGAAAACGAATGACTGAAACCTTAAAAAAAAAAAAGGGTCTGCCACATCTCATTTTATATCTTTTACAGCCTTTTTGTACAATATTCTCTGGTGCTCTTTTCAAAATAAAGACAAAAAAACAAGCCTCAGCCTTTCAATCTTTGAGGTCTGCTTCCTTCAGTATGCCTGCAATCCGAACGCATGAAACCAGCCACATGGGCGGTGATGTTTTTGTCATCCATACCTTGAAAACAAAGGCTGTGGTGAGCTACTTTTTTTGAAGTGTCACACAGGCCAGAATCATTACTGTACAACTCTTAGCATGCGTGGCGGCCGCAGGAAGAATGGCGTCGGTCATATATATTGTCGGCCAGGTGAATCAGCCTTCAACTGCGGCGTCCGCAGGCTATTCTCAGTCAGGTGCAAACTTTAAAGGTGCGGCTTCACAATGCTCTTCTACCTTTTACTAGCAATTTGTTGTGCTGTGTTACCAACAATATCAAGCACTTTTGTATATGTATACTTCTTTATTTCTTTGATATTTTTTTAAATCTTTCTCCTTGATTCTTGTGAATTGGTTATTTTTAATGATGTGAATTTCTTGCCGTTATATAAGGTAATACGTTGTTGTGTACAGTAGGGCTGTGCCAATAGATGTGAACGATTGAGCTAGGATAGAATCACTCCGTCTGTCGTGCTGGTGGTGAAGGGGCCGAATTCCAATAGTACCGCTCTCATGTTTCCATGTGCTACGGAGTCGCTTTATCATAACTCGCTTCGAGAAATAGTGTCTGCTCACGGTTCTTACTGCTATATAATCCCAAAGTGAGTGTGTTTGTTAAATATCCCTGTAGGAAAAGTAGTTACCTACGTCTGGTCCCTAGCGTAGATCTGAAAACATTATTATGTTTGCCAATGGTGGATGTTGACCACGTCAATAATTGAATTATCACGCAAGCTATATGTAGGCTAAATTTGTGAATCTGGTTAGAAACGGGCTCTAATGAAATCCTTATTAGGCTCTTCTTGTAAGGCATTGCACTGCTTGCATACCTTTACATTTGTCATGTTCAGCAAAGTTTTGTTTCTTATTTTCCCAAATTTCATCGATGCCCAGATTTTTTTCTTTTTGTACATTTTGTACATAGAAATTGTCTGTTGCTTTTTTTTTAATGACCTATGAGATGTACAAATATAATTCTTTGCTAATATATATCACAGAATCAAAACAGCACTCAAATCGCAAGAGGGGGTAATTGACAAAATGGCAACAGGCTAATTGACATAAGCTATAAAGCAGCAGGGTTTCTTTTGTAATTCATATTTATATATGTCGAACAGAGGATAAAACTAAAGAATGAGTTCGCTAAGTGATTTTAACAGTCCCATCTTTACTGCACAGCCCTACATACAAAAGTGTGTTTCGATTTGCTTTTTAATTATTTTTTAAGTACTAAGAGAGGGATTGTAGGTGTTTCCTAAGGTGCTAAACATTGTATCTAATTGAGAAAATATAGTATTTGGAAAATAAGTAAACTTGTCTGATTGTTTCTTGTAGTATTGGAGAAGCACTATTATTTTACTCTCTCATATAAAGATATTAACAAAGGCATTTTAACTTTGTACTTGAAAAAATAATGATAAATGATGAAAGATTCTTATATTGTTTTAGAATAGACATTGCTGTAGTTGGTGCTTATCTGTGGGATCATGTACTCATAATGGGAAATAAAAAAAAATGTAATAAATTTTGCTGTTAACATGTACTTGCTTAATATCCAGGCAGAATTGCTATTTGAAAGTCCTACATTCCATGCCATATATTTCCGGAAATGACAGAACTTTTGAATTTAAATAATTATATTTATTATAAGCATAAGAATATGGACACAACTAGAATAAATAGATATAATACTTTGTATACCTATATTATACATTATTTATATTTGTACATTTTATATTTATGTATATTTATAAAAAAAAGAAAAAAAAAAACTATTTCATGGTCTGGTCCAGTAGCCACTCACTGCAGAACAAAGTTCCAGGGGAGGGGGTTGGATCCACATCTAGGGGGTGGAGATAGTAAGTTTAGGGGTGGAGACGGGTAGGTTTAGGTTTATGTAAGGTGGGAGGAGTTGGATCTGGATCCAACCACACCCCCTGGATCTTGTGTTCTGCAGTGAGGACCATCTCCATTTATGTACTTGTGCTGGAGAACACTTGAATAAAAGTATTGTTTTTCTTTTTTGTGAAAACGTTGTTTGTTTTCTTTGCAAGTATTTACCATAAAATGATATATGATTATTCATTAGATTATTAATTGTATATCATTATTAGTTAAATAACATTTAACTTCTAAAAATATATACATTTTATCCAAGATTTCAATATAATATTATGGAAAGGACACATAATATTATATACATGTGTGTGTGTGTGTGTGTGTGTGTGTGTGTTGGTTTGCACGGTTGCCACATTAATGATCCAGTTCCATCCTGTAAATCTGTGTAAATGGTACGTACCACTGACGACAGGACACGCCCATACTGCAATGCCATTGGCCGCTGCTGAGTCCATCGCTGTGGATGTCGCCTGTGATTGGTCAACGCCCGGCTCTCACTGTCTGGGGATGCTGCTGCAAGGTCTACCGAAGCATCTGCCTGTGTGTCTGCCTGCCCGTCTAAGAGGCATTATTGTTCACCAGTGCTGAAAGTGAAGGAAAATCGCTTTTTAAGGATATAACAAGGGAAGTAAGTGTGCTATGTCTCGCTATTTTGCATTCATTTGTCAGTTATTTTAAGAAACTCCTCACTGACTAGCACAGAGATATATTGCTTGGCTCGGAATCCTGTAATTTTGTGGTATGGAAAGAATCTCCCAGTCTTGTGTCTCGTGTTTCCCTTATACAGTATCATTCCTAATGTGAGCTGGTAATTGTTTAACTATCGATTGAACGATATTTAATAATCTAGTCGATCAATGTGGATGTCGTATATCCACAAACAGCTCGAGCCCACCAGCAATAAACACGATTAAACGCGAGCGCACGCCCGACAACTGATATTTCCGTTATGAAGCCATTGTAATATCCTTATACCTTTTGAAAATCCAACGTTGGCATTTCATGATGCCTTGAGGCGTGTTGAATGTGTTGTTTAGAGTAAGGGCTTGGTCGCCCCTTTGTGTGACACCCTCGATATGGTCCAAATGGGATGAGTCTACTTCATCACCATCATCATCAGCCTTAAAATGAAGCCTTGTTCATGCAATCTACATATCAGAAGACATCACTGATGCACTGCATTGCACAAATGTGCATGTGTGTACATGGTCATAAAATACCTCTTGTAGTCATGTTTACACTTCACGTGACTGAATGCATGCTTTGCAAACTAGAAGTATTTAAACATTCTAGCATGAAAATTCAGAAATAATATAACGTTAGGTTAATACGGTATAATGTTAATATTAAATATATGTTATATTTCCTTCCTTTCATTTTACTGCAATGAACGTTTCAGCATAAAAAATGTAAATAATATAATATAATGTATTCTAAAATATTTTAATTTTAATTTGTAGAATGCATTATATCATTTAAAATATTTTATGCAATTTAAAATAATATTTTAAATTATGTATATTGCATATATTGCACGGATTCTTTCTGTCTTTTCATTCCATTTATTTTCCCTATTACCACAATTAACATTTTATATATATATATATATGTTCCGTTATTAATTGCACTGATTCTTTTTGTTCTAATAGTTCAAATTGCACTAAATGGCCTGTCCTGTTTTATTGAATGAAAGTTGTTTCCACAAGACAGATCAGAAGTTTTCATGAACTTCATACTACCCAGAAGATTGCCATCTGGATCTCATGGAATATGGCACGGTTCAAAAGTGGGTCATTCTTGAGGAAGGCCTCCATGAGTCATGACGAGGAACAAATGCTCCAATAATGTTTCTCTGGGCTGTGTTGTGAGGACAGGACAGATGTAGCGCATGCACCGTACTGTTTCTTTTTATAGTAGGATGTCTGAGGACACACCCTTATTCTCCAGCTTCATAGTAGCCCCTCCTTGCACACATACACACATGCCATTCACCATCAGGGGCTCAGAACAGGGGGTGGGGGAACCCTGGGCAGCGCCATACTGTGAATATGCTGCACACACCTGCCCCCGACTCACTTTGTAACGTGGACTCGTATACATGCTTTCACTTGGGATTAGATCATAAGGAAGTGCGGTGCTGCAGGGAATGTGCAGCAACAGCTGCTAGCCTACATATATTTCCTGCTAACAATCCCACATCCCTGCACATGCAACGCTGGAAAATCTGGGTCAGAATTGCACTGATCATTTTTGAGCATTTAATATGATTTACACACCCTGTTTCTGTAGTGTGTTAGATCGGATGTTGAGGTTTTGTTACATTACTGGGACATTTGTTGCAGTGCTGTTTTAAATTGCTTTAATGTGTCATGAATAATTAACATGTTCACATGTAATTACCATTTTAAAGGCTGGAGTCGATAATGTGACTAATCATGCCAAGCTGAAGATAATCACACATGTTGGAGTCAGTTTACCCTCTAAAGTGAGATTCTAGAATGGTGTAATGCTTTGCAACCTCTTTAATCTAATGTTGTGGAACATTTGTGCTGTTGATATGAATGATTGCACCTGTTTGGATGTCAAGTAAGGACATAGTTGGTTTCCTTAGCCCAAATGTGGAAAAATGGTTTGCTGCAAGCTCTCCATTAAGATATGTGATGTCATTCCAAAAGTATGGTGCGTATATTATTATATAAACAGGGTTCCCACTTCCCATGGTCATAGAAAACCTTGAAATATCAGTATAATCTCAATAGGGATATGCCGGTATCAAATTTTCATGTTGCGATTAATTGCTAATGCTTTTATCACGGTATACGGTATTGTCACGGTATTGAATTTTGGGTTCCCACTTCCCATGGTCATAGAAAACCTCGAAATATCAGTATAATCTCAATAGGGAAAATATCAAATTTTCATGTTGCGATTAATTGCTAATGCTTTTATCACGGTATACGGTATTGTCACGGTATTGAATTTTAGTTAAAAAAAGTGCTGTCATAATACAGTATAACAGGTTTAATTACCGTGATATATCGCATTACCGAATACCGGCACAAGTCTAAATCTCAATATAGTAGAACATTTCTGGTAATTTCTGTAGTAACTATATTTAAAATGAATAAATACGCTGCATTTATTTGATAAAAATACAGTAAAAAGGAAAGACAGTAATATTGTGAAATATTAAAATACCTGTTTTCTATTGAATATATTTTAAAATGTAATTTATTTCTGTGATTGCCAAGCTGAATTTTCAGCATCATTACTCTTCAGTGTCACATGATCCTTCAGAAACCATTCTAATATACTGAATTGGTGCTCAAGATTAATTTCTTATTATTGTCCATGTTGAAAGCAATTGTGCTGCTTAATATTTTTGTGGAAACCATAATACATTTTTTTTAGGAATCGTTGCTGAATAGAAAGTTCAAAAGAACAACATTTATTTGAAATATAAATCTTTTGTAATAATGAAAAAAAAAACTTTACTGTAATCAATTCATTAATCAGTTTAATGCATCCTTGCTGAATAAAAGTATTAATTATTAGTAGGGATGTAACACATTTGTTAAAA